GATAAATTCACGCTTTTGTAGCAAAACTCAGTGACAGATGTTTCTGTCGGTTTCCGGCCGCCATGTTGGTGCCCATACGGATGGGCACCAGCAAGGCGTCTCAATACAAATCTCTATAAATTTGGGTAAAAAATTTCTCCGCATATCTTGCATAAGAAAAGTTGCTGTGACTAGAATCTTGGAGATAGTCTTTGCATATTTACCTTTTTTCATTTCCCAAATTCTGGACTTTATCTATTGAACGGTTTTGATTTTTATTTTGATTTATTTTGAATGGCGTGACACTGAAACCCAGCAATTGTTTTAGGCTGAATTTCAATATATCGAAATTGGTCTATTTCCGCGCAAATTAATCCCTGGCGCGTTCTTCCGAGATATCTTGTCAGTCCCTGTTCGGTTCTTAACTGGAAAAAAAAATAGTTTGAAACCACACGCTGAACAGTTACATGCTAAGAATTAATCATATTTTGAGTTTCTGATCCAAGAAAAACAAATCCTTTATTTCCCTTTTATGGTTGACTTAGTGCAACCAGGAGATCCGATTTTAGGCTTGGCTAAATCTATTATTTATTTCCTCTAAGAGCCTCCTCCCCTTGTAAAAGTTACTTCACGCGGGTTCCACCCTGCCTCGTCCTTGGTTGGAACGTGGTTTCCGTTGTGTTGTGGAACGTAACGAGCTTTTAGTTAATTAAAATGAAATATGTTAAGGTATACAATTATTACTTGTGGAATTGGTCTGCCAATAAACATCGTGAGGCCCTAAACATCTGGGGTCACGTGACCACATTTTTTCTTTAAAAATCTATATTATGGAAAGAGCATATTGAAAATACCAAAATGGCCAAGTCTGAGCCCCTGGCATTAAAGATTAAGTTTATACGACGGTTAAAATTTTCAGAAAAGTTGGAGGATTTGTATGGAAAATTTTGCATGCTGGAGAGCAAGGCCTTGCTCTCGCACAACTTTTTCCATACCAGACCGTTGGAACGAGGTTGAAGGATGACAATCTCAAAAAATGCTAATAAAAAATAAAAAATAAAAAATAAAAAAAAATAAAAATCAGTTTACTAATACTCAGGTGTCGAAGTGTTTAGCACTACTGTACTAATTGCAGACACTGAAAATAGGCAAACAAATATTGTAAATTAAAAAACTTGTTAAAACACCAACTGGCGGGAGGCTGACCACTTGGCCATTTACAAAGCGTGGAGGAGTTGAATTTGGAACCACCAAACACAAATCCATCGCCCTAACCACTAGCCCACGCCGCCTCCACAAAGCTCCTGCTATATGTTACTGTAAATGTTTTCAAGTATTGTAACCTTTTAGTCAATTCAAAGCTGATATAGCAAGTGCTTGCGTACAGGAGCATAAATCAAAGAAAAAGACCAGTTACAATTCTGAGACAGTTCTAATGGATTTTCACAATGGTGGTCATGATTACAAGAAAAACTGTCTCCATTTGAACTTTAACTAACATGCTCTTCCCTCCGAGTTGTGCGAGTCTTTACATGTCAGGGCCTTACCGCAAAAATGTTGCCAAACCTCACTGCAACTGCAGCCATCAAGCCAGCATTTATCTCCAGTGTCCAAGACATGCAGTGATAAAAATTCCCCCATGAACAGGATGCTAGTCCACCCCAGGGTTACCTTCCAGCAAAAAAATTCTCCTTGGGTGGAGAGACATTGCTTTGCCCAAGTAAAAAACATAACATATTGGCAAGGGCTTGAACCAGAACCTCCCACTCACCCCAATGCAATAACCATTAATGCACTGCGTCCCCAACAAACCTTTAAAGTTGAAGTACAACGTCAAAGTACAACTGTAACAAAACCCACGCACAAAACTGTTATTTCAGTTAGTTTCACTTTATTACAATAATCAGAGGATATTTACAACTTTCATATTGCAACAAAAGTAACATACTATTTAATGTGATATTTCTAACAAATATTAAATTTTTCTTTACAACAAAAACAAGATCTCAAAATATCCTTGAGCTATAAAAAAGACTGAGAGACATACTTTAAAAATCCTTGAAAAGTCTGAATTGTTTATGAAAGATTATATGAAAGGGAAATCAGATAAAAACAAGGGCAGAAGCGCATTCAAGGATTTTGAAAATCAATGTTATTGCTGATGATATTTGAGTAACTAAGTCAAAATTATCAAATTTTTGCTGGTTTGTGTTGAACCTGCACCACATTCCAGGCCACTTAGTTTGAAACGAAAAATAAAATAAATAGGCAAAGGGGAAAATAATAAAACTCATACAGTAAAATAAATGAACAGAAATTAAAACAATAATTATATTATTGTGTACTTAAACATGCATGAAATGATATACATTACCAGTGATTCATAGGCGTGTTTTTGGGACATACGACATCACAAGGGTTTATCGAAGGCAGGAGAGGCAAGGTCTTAGTTACAATGGGTAGCATTAAAAATACAGGGTGTACTAATCATGTTAGAATCTTTTGTTTAACTTATTAGAGAATATTACTTTGAGCATTACATAAAATATAGACTACAATAACTCTGTGCAATAAATTAGTTTAGAAATTTCATCTCCAGGTCAGGTAACAATGTAACATTGGTGCATTTCACCTGTTATCAGGAAGAGCAGTGCTTTGCTGAACAGGTTTTACAATTAATTTTAAATACTGGTAAAGAAAAATATGTTCAATGGCAGTAATTATTGTTCAGATATGTATATGCTGTATAGTCAGGAAGAACTTAGCTCATCTATTCACTGTAGCTAGAAACACCTTTCAGTTTACAAAAGTACAAAATGTTTCCAATCTAGAACCTTATCTATGTTGTCCTGGCTTTACTAAGTTCTAAATTAATGGTCTTAAAACTTCAACACATATTCTAACTAAACAATGTTGATATACAAGATAACTTCAATAACTATCAAATAATTATTTAATCAGGTCCCCTTAAATTATTCAGATAAAAACTCTTCGACTAATAAATTTGTCTCCCACATGTCAGTCAAATTCCTTTCAAATCCATTCAATTTCATAACCTACAAAACTATACTCTCCTTCAAAAATACTTTTACCGTACAGTAAGTCCTGTTAATTCTTACAAGCATTTAAAGCATGTCTGCTAAGCTCGTCATCTTCACTTCGCATTTGATGTGGTCTGGCTCACATTTGCCTAGCATCTTCCTTGGATCATGCGCAAGACTGGCACAATAGTGGCATCAGCTTTTTGGTCCTGATCAAACACACGGTTGCAACTGAATGTTGTCTGGAAAGAGGACTTAAACACTACTGAGTGTAAAATGTCACTAGCACTTGTTTCAGTGTCGCCTTCTAATTCAGCCAACTGCAACTGGGAAGAAAACATGTTGAGTGCGTTCAATCTGCCCTCTGCAAATAGGACACAGGTCGATGCTGGCTGCACAGACACTGCATGAAACCATGTGTCCACATGGACAAAACACTGTGTCAATCTGAGAGTCCATGCAGATTTTGCACTTGAAAGAGTCTTCCATTTTGGATAACTGTTCCTGGAGCTTAGCAGCTTGGACGTCAGAGGTTGCAGGCCTGTCTTCAACCTGGAAACTAGCAGGAATATTTTGAATAGGATCACATCCAAGCTTATACAAAACCCTTCGACAATGATCATAAACTTCCTTAGAAGTCCTCTGAACATCAAAAATGTACTTTTTCTCCGATTCTTCATCTCCAAAAAATGAGATAAGTGTCTCCCTCAAGTCTCTTGTGAATTGATCTGTCACAGCATTCCGTACAGTCTCACAGCGGTAAAATGCATGATACTCTGTAATGGATCTGTATAAAGCACACGCTGCTTCTTGACTAAGAAGTCTGAATGTGAACATGGCTTCACCATCACAGGTAATTATTCTGAGGTACAGATTGTTTTTCACATGGGTTGCCATCTTAAGACCGTTGTACGAAAACCTGGAACAATAAATAAATACATTTGTAAAACTACGTTAACTTGACAGTACAGAACAAACTATTTAAATGCACTTTTTGGTAATAACACAAGAATAAATGAATCCATGGAAGGATACAATATTATTGTGGCAACAATGAATAAATATTTTGATGTACAGTCGACTCCCAATAACTCGAACCTTCAAGGGAAATTGAAAAAGGTTTGAGTTATCGTGAGTTGAGAACAAATGAGTGTTTAATGTTTTTCTATTCATGCACTGTACACTTTAATCAAATTTGATTACACTTCAAGGGAGCCTAGAGATTTAATGACATTTTGAAAAAGAAGTTAAGAAGCAACACTTTGTGAAAACCAGTTGAACCTGAACTGAACTAACATGTTTTGTGTTATGTAAAAGAAAGGAAAAAAAAATCACACTGCTGCTTCAAAATAGATTTAATATTTTGGACTACAGTACACTGTGTGTTTTGACTTATTCCGTACTGACAGACATGGCTTGAGTTCTTGAGGGTAAAATTATATAGAAAATGACCAGAAGGGAAATGAAAATTGCTTCAAGTTAGCAGGAGGTTCGAGTTACAGCAAATGTACGATGGAAATCTAGGGGAAATCGATTTTGGTTCGAGCTAGTGTGAGGTTCAAGTTGGCGAGTGTTCAAGTTATCGGGAGTCGACTGTATTACTGATTTGCTCTAGGTTGTGTGTTTAAGCAAGATTTGAGATGCGGCAGCCAAGTTTTCTATCAGACTTATGATAACACCCTGCGAGGGGTCTTAAGCAGTATAATTCAGAATGTAGGAGGTATTTCCACAGTAATGAGGGCACATTTGTTAGAGGTTTCTAAATTAGCTAAAAATAGGTCTCAATGCAGAACTTCAGAATGATTAAAATGTACAATACAATATGAAATTTTTCTTGTCTCCCAAAGTTGGCCTATGCACATTAAGATTTTTTAAAACTCTGGGCTCCAATTTTGATGTTATTGGCACAATTCATAATACGGTAAGATTAGATTTCACCAGCATCTTGCAAGTCTCTATTTTAGCCATCCACACTACTTTACTGGAAAAGTTAAAGAATGACACTATTCCTGGTCTTAGTTGAGTATAAGCGGTGGTGTTGAAGTCAACTTAACTTCCTGACAAAAATCACTTCTCTTCCAAGTAGCAGACATTCTACAATAATATTGATGCTCACAAAAATATATTTGTGGCTAGGTACACAGTTATTTTGGGAAATCACTAAGGAATGATGTAGCGAGTTATCTATGGTTAGTAACATCACAAAGAATTATGTGAGAAATATGGTACTAAGTGAGACAGACAGTATTGATCATGCTACTCTTCAGTGCAGCTGAAAGGGCTAAGTGCTACTGTATAAATACATGACACTGACGTCCAGCAGGCCATAGGAACAAACAATAATTTAACAACAAAACTGTGCATGGTTACCACAAGACATCAAAAATTCCCTGACTTTTCCCTTTAAGAAATAAAATTTTCCAGACCAAATAATTACAGAAAATCAGATGATATTTGTTTCTTCACAGTTATCCCTTCAACCATTCTTAAGATTGATAAGTTTTCAACTAACTGGCATTCTTTGCTATGAGAAACTTTGTTGAGATCACAGTGACTCCAAACTTTCCAGCTTTAAATGTTATTAAATAAGTTGTGTTTAATTATTTCAATTTTCCCTGACTTTTCTTCAAAATGTCAATTTTCCATAATGCAAATTACATGTAACATTTCCCGACTTTTTAATGACCTTGAAGAATGTATTTTGCTTGACCATTTCCTGACCTGTAACAATTCTGCTGTGCTCATATGTAGCTATAATGAGCAATTATTGTTAACTTTTGTTGTTAGGCATAATATGTTTCATTAAATCCCAAGACCAAGGCAAAAACATATGATGCTTATAACTATAACTGCTGCATCTTATGAATATTTATCCATACATGTCTTGAACTCCTTGAACAAGGAAAACAAAAAGATGGAACAAGGAAAATAAAAAGAAGGGCGAGAAAAAGGGCTTAGACCATGAACAATGCATCAATCAGGAGCAAAAACTGCTGCTGCACCTGGTAACATCATTCCTTACTAAACAGGGTGATTGTTTTGAAATGATTATGTTCTTGCCAATTTGAAGTTTGGCTTCAAGCCAGGAAAGTATGTTAATTCATCTGACACTGACATCAAGTAGTGCAATTATAGAAAACCACAAGATTACATGTTTGCACAACATACTGCAGATGACTAAAATATTATTATTTTTTTTTTTTAAAAAAAATGAAAAGCAAAACAAAAAATTGAGTATCCTTTGCTCAAAGTAATCTATTAAACCAGGCGTCAGAGTTAAATAACAGAAAATAACACGTTTATGTCTCCACTTGATATGAACGAACCAAAACCTTGATATAACCTATAATACTTTCACACTTCACCCTTAACATTGAAAATTTGCATAAAATCAGCTAAAAAGCTTCATTTGACATGTGATGACATCGTGTTCGACAGAACAAACAAAGGTAGCGGTCACGTCTAAGGCAAAAATAAAATACTACAATGCCAACACTAAATTAAAAAATCTCGAAAAATATAAAGTACAAACAGTTTAAACCTTTAGCGGCTAAAGAAAGAAAGCTTATTTTGTTCAAATATTCAGATCAGCTAAACCGACTGTTCATTATTCAGCTCACGAGGCCAAAGCAAGTTGTGTACACATAATTGATAAACATGAACGGCAAATATCACGTACCGTAAGGCCCTCAGCTTTTTTTATGCTGGCGCAATAAAACTTTTGTTGTTTCATTTTTTTAGTGTACAAAAATATTTGCATTTGATATATATCAGTATAATTCTCAATGGAGTAGCTATGAGAAGACAGTTCAGATACTCGGGAGGTAACACACGAACGAAACATGTCCTTCATAATGCACGTACGTCTAATTACAAAAGTCCAAGAATAACGAAAAATAAAATAGTGGAATAATACATCAGAGTGTCTCATGGGTTAAATTTCCTGAAGGGAAATTAAATCTGTCCACGCAAGAAGAGGGATTTGCGATCTTCTCCACGACCTGAACTTATATGCAAACAAGCTTCGCAAATAATTGCAACAAATTTTTCAGTTAACACTTAGATTCGGTTCAATTAATTCAAAACGCTGAAAATGCGTGTATCTGCGGTACTGTATACACCAAACACACCATCAAACCCTGATTTTTGAACCCCGAAGTCGATCTTGTCAACGGATTTCCTGAAATGCAACTCAGCTATGTGTCCATGGAAGGAAAGAAAGAAACGTCTGAATGTCAAGACTGTTCTTTACTTCCCATGATCACAGTTAGGATCCTAAATTGAAATGTCCCTACTGCCTACAATATGGAATGATTTGTACAAGAATTAACTGGCAATTGTTCGTACCTTTCGATAAAGTTGAAGTCGGCATCATAGATTTTTATCTCTTCAGTTCCAACACCAATGTGCAGGGACTGTCCTGACTCGTTTTTCGCCAGATGATACTCCATTCCGTAGTTTTCCATCGAGGAAAGTTCTTTAATGAAAAATTGCTTAGCTGCGACCGATCGTACACCTTTGAGCTTGGCATGTTCCACTGAAACATTACTGCGAAACTCCGACGTCCACTGCGATTCAACTTCCGATGCTTGACAAAAATCACAAGGCGAGTAAGAATCACCGTGATCTCCGATGGTTGCTTGAGCGATGAAAGCATACACGGTCGCTGCTTTTTCTGGATCTGGTATTATCTTCCCTTCGTCCAAGTCTCTCTTCAAATGCAAGAAATACTGATGTCTGCAAAAGGAAGAAACGGTAACATCATTTACTTCGAGTGTACAGCTGACACAAGCAACTCTTATACCTTGATATGTAAGGTGCATGTACTTTCCCGATGGCGCCAAAAATTGTCAGAGATATAATACAAGATCCCTAAATTCAAACATACATACTCAAAAGACATTTGAACAATCCTACCTGGTCGAATCTTGAAGTAAATACTGAGGCTGAACGAAAAATTTGACGCGAAACTGCAAACGGTACGGTGGACCACCGGGGATTTGTCGTCGAATTCTATTTCTAGAGTTTAACCAAAGCACTTCGTTCTTTGGACCCGTAAACTGCAATCCAAAATAGTCTAGTTCGATGATACCAAGTCTTTTGCAGACCTACGGAACAGAAGTAAAACGTAGATGATAAATAAACGCAAGGAAAAAGTTACATCAGAAATTTCCACTTGAAAGCAAATTTCTGGACTTTGAGCCCAACAGCAGAAACAACGTACGAACCGCTTGTAAAAGCTCCTGTCCCCGCGCTTTTTCCCGAATTTTGAATTCTGTGAGGACACAGTCGGGCATAGACACATAACACAGCATTCTGCGTCGAGGGCTTGATTTTTCCCGCTACCTATCTCAGAGAAATTCGATACACAACTACATTCATGACAAACGCCGGCCGAGCTCTTGTTGTTCTGCAAAAAAATTTTTTTTCCGAGTTCATTTTCAACTGAACTTCGATCTGAAAGGTCATTCCCTGTTCACGTGGAAGACATCCAGGGAACCAATCAGATTAGCGTGATTAATTTATCCACCAATCAAACAAGCTACAGGAAACCATCTGGGGTTTCCCCGCCCTCCAGGCGGAAAATTATGAACATGGGTAAAAATAAATTGCGTTTTACAAGCAACTTTTCTGCTTGAGTAATGACATTTCGTTTTCCTCTCGTGATTTATCAGGTGATTTCTGCAAGCAACCCAGAAATCCGACGGTTCAGTTGCTTCACGTGCCAATTGTTGTAACTCAACGACGTCAACAATAGAACAGAATTGCATGTCTGGGCAAGGACCGGACGTAAAGGTCGGTTTCAAAAAATTAGAGCGAAAACGAATAAACATAAATATATTTTTTGTAATTTGCGTGGCAGTTCAGTTGTCTCTGTACTGCAAATATCAACTAGACCACAGGATGACAGAATAGGATTGACTGAGCTAAATTCAGTATTCCGTGATCGCAATGAATAAAGGTGTCATAGAAAATTAGGAAGATAGAAACACTGTGTCAGTGAATTTATTAAGGAAATAAAAGCAGAAATGGCACATTCCAGTAAACCGTAAGAGATAACCAAACGTGTTCGGCTGTCGAACTAAGTAAGACTATCCGTACTATTTCAGCCATAAAGGGTGGGATTAAAAGAAGATTAGTTAAGATAAACAGTACAATTGAAATCCGGGACAGATCAGAGAAACTTTTATTTCAAACTAATCCAAAATTATACTGACTCCGAGCCTTCGTTCTAAAGCTGTCATTTTCAGTGACAAGCCTTTTAATTTTGTGCCTCGACTATACTGAAAGCCAAGTATTCAGACGTATTGTAAACATACCCTTAAATTTATCAGTAATGAAATAAATGAAAGACTAACGATTCGGACGATTTAACGAAATAGAGACTTACTGGGAAAATAAAACCAGCCTTTTTTTTTCTGGAGCGACTTCAGTGTGAACTAACGGGTATTGAAGAAAAAATGTGAATCAACTGGGATCATCGGTCGAATTCGTGCACTGCTTAGAGGAAAGTTTCGGCCATGAACCGGCGGCTAGCAAACAAGCAAAGCGGTTTCATCATTTAACTCATTCACACTAATTCAGGCTCTCGTTAGTAACTACGGAAACTGCCATAGTTTTTGTCCGGGGTTTTTGCTGGTCGTCTGTTTGATATGCAACAAAAGGCCGGTCAAGACGATAGTTTATCAATTCTGCCTCAACGGTGACATTCGGTCCACAAGTCAATCAACTTATGGGCTAGGCTCGATTTCCGCCGCTTTCTCGAGTCCGGTCTACGTTCCTCCCTGAGTTCGGGGGAGGAGCGCGGGCTCCTTTCCCGAACAGCGGCTAGTAATCGAGCCTACTTATGGGCTTTTCCCAGTTATTTTGAATGGGAGGTCATGATATATATTTAAGACCCGAAACTGAAAAGCAAACTACGTAGAGAGAGTGAGCTGTTTCCTAAGCGCCGAAAAACACAAAGGTTGTTTTGAAAGAAGGCTAGCCAAGATAATAAATCCACTGTTTGCAGTTTGCGCTTTACGCCAGTTACATGACACTTTCTCGGATGCTAATTGAAACCGAAACAGTCGCTTGTCTCCAAATTGATTACCACAACAGTAGTGTACGTTTCTTCCTGCTCATAACTGTGTAGTTATTTTTTATGTAAAAGAACGAATCTAAAAGTGTTTTTCCTTTCCGTGATGCAATATTGGCTTCACGAGGGTATCACACCTCCAACTTATTTAAACGGGAAAATATCACAAATGTCAATGTTTGTACGGGGCTATCTCTTCAGCATAAGGTGCATCTTGAAAGGTATAAGGAAACCACAAAAACATTTCTTCATGTTTCTTGGGAATGTAAACTATTAACTGAGTTGATATTAGCAAGTTTTACGTTTTAGAAAGGTTTCGTGTGCACCGAACCTTGAAACCCAGATATTGCATCATAAAATAAGCTGTTTAAGCACACCAATCAGAAACAATAAGTCGTTTATTTACCCACAAAAAGGGTCTCTACAACTGGTTTGTTTTGGAGTGTAAACAAAAGTTCACGCCATGATAATTTCGCTTAAATATGGAATGAAAGTGAAATGATTCGAATGAAGTCCGAAGCAATGCCAGAAGTCTTCAGGAAGAGAATATATCTAGACCTTTAAGTCGATAATCCGGTGTTAAAACATGACTTTTTTTCCTGCACAACTTAAAAGTCAGACGTTCTGGCGTCTGTTGTCAAACAAACTTTCCTCTCCCATGCTAAAGCTAATGAAAATTTATTACGACTTTTTTTTTTTTTTTACCGAAAAGCTGTTTGTTAAGCAGAAATCTCATTTTCGTCGCGGAATGTAAAGGTTCCAACCTTGAAGTACGAATCTTTGTCAGTTGGATGTTCGTTCTTGGAAAATAGATAAACATATTTACATAACAAATAGCTGGTCGGCAAGGAAACAATATTGTAAATGAGAACGAAACTGAGAAGTATATTGCTTCGACAGTATTTACAGAAAGGGATAAATTTAGGGGGAAAAAACATGAAAGCATACCGGGCGAGGAGGTTTCTGAACGTATATTTGTGAAAAATCAACACGGTGAAGCAGTAAAACATTTTTTTTTTACAGTAAAACACAATTTTTTACGATAATCTACGACACACAATAAAAACTTACTTTTACAGTTAAAGAGTCTATTTACATATTATGTATGATTCTGTCAGATTTGAAGCAAAATTGTCCCTTGAAAATAAAAATGTTCGCAGTCGAGGAATAGCGTTTTCGTAGTTTAAGTCGGAGCAGCTACTAGGCCGGCGGGGCCTCGGCCGAGTTGTTGTCCTCCAATGTTGCTCTCCAGGGGCTTGAAACCGAGTTCTTCTGTTGGAACGCCAAATGACTGTAGCTTCGCCTCGTATGTTCGGATGAGATCGTTGTGCGCCTGAAATGAAACCAAAATCTGGAGTTAGAGGTGTGGGAAAGACAACGGAAGGCTGGAAAGAGCGCCGTCACACCCTTTATTTCTTTATGCTTATAATATTTTTCTCTCTTAGTCTTTAGAGCCCCAACACGTGCGTCCAAAAATGAATATCTCTAAAATTTTACTGCTTGGGTTACTATACGATTTGATGTACTACTATACGTACATTGTACATGTTAAACTAACAACATCTATCGCCACAAGGGCAGCAGCGTTAGAGAACTTGCCTGCCCTTGCTAAAACTTAATTCTACCAAAGATAGAGCAAGCTCTAGATTTGGAGCCCTCTATTAGCTGCTAAGAACAACACAAAATCATCTAAAGCATCAACTAAACAGAATGTTACCGTGTCCAACACGATAAAACACGTTATTTACCTTGCAGACACGAGCCAGTTCATACTGTAAGTCTTTGATAGCGCTGTTCTTTGAGTCTAACACATCCTGAAACAGGGCAAAATAGTTTCTTTGTGAGATTTGGTTTAGAAAAGAACACAAGGACTTCAACAGTAAATATTCCACCATCACCTAATCCCTAGAAACAGTTACACACTGTCAGAGAATGCAAAACTGCGACCTCCAATTAGCTGCAAATTGTTAGATCGCCGACCCTCATTTGGAACCTGACAGTAATTAGATATTCACTAAATAGGAACCTGGTATTTTCTAAACGCTAGCCCCGTTAAAACAAAATTTTCAGACAAGTACAGCTAAATCTTCAATATGACCACGACAATAATAAGAGCAACGAAAATTCCTAAGTATTGTACATGTCGAGTGTGTTATGTATAGCATACTGTACCGCTTGAAGTTTAAATTTAGCTTTAAGAGTTTCATCTACTACATGTAAGACTACAAGGTCCGTAAGTGTGTTACAGAATTGCCTTCCTAACCCAGTCTCTCTGAACGAAAGCAAAAAAATCAATAAACAAAGTGCTGCTCCAAGGTTCATAACCTCAAAATGAATGACAAGTAGAAACGACTTGTTCATTTCAAGTGATGCCCACACAATGCGCTTTACTGAAGGAAAGTAAAAACTCTGCTGTCACACTTCTCACCTCGAGTTTTCTGGTGACAACAGTAAGAGCCGTAGGGTCCAGATTAGAGGCTGAGAGAACTTCATTCAATTGTGCTTCCTGTTGAACGAATGGTACAAGTACAAGTTAGGACATGTCAATTACAAACACTCAACAAAGTTTAGAGGAAATCTTAGGGTTTCAACAGCTTACTTTACGAACATGCATACCACGTTCTAAATTTTTAAAATGTGGTTTCGCTTAAACATTTTAGTTAGTGTACTGTAAATGTTAAAAATAAATACTAGTTAAGTGTGTTATACACTGTACATGATTTTATGATTACTGGTAGAACTCAAACGTAAGTAACCACAGTGTTGTGTAACAAAGCGATGAGAACTTGAAGGAAAAACATGTCACCAGCTAGGTCGGCTAGACTTGCCACAAGTCGACCTTTTCTTAATCCTTCGCTCAGTTATCTCCCTCGAGCAAAGCGAGAGGGTAATCTTCGAGCGACGAAGTTGCGAGCGTGAGCGAAACCAACAGGTCAGGGAAGAATTATTGGAAAGGACTTTTAGAAAGTCTAGTCACCGGCAGAAAAAAGGCGGTAAAGTACGACTACATAAATTAGATCACGACTGGCTATAGAAGGCCACCAAACACATGTTCACTTTGATTGGGCGGAACAAATTACGGTGGCTTTGCAATCAGCTCTATATTGTTCAGGCAATCCAAATTATAGCTGAGGAAACCTTGGTATTGCGGACACTTGCTTCCATGGAAAACCCACAACTCAGATCTCTGCTTATGGTTTCTGCATAACGTTTTGCTTACAGCAATTAATTTTGTGTAACATGAAAAAAGCTAGCCTGCGTTGCAGACATTTCCTTTCCTTTGTCCGGGGGGAGAGATCAAACAAGCGAGCGAGCAAGCGACTCAGTGGCAGTTTTGTTCCCTTGACGTGCTTTTTTTGGAAACGCCTGCTATGCAGGCTAGAAAAAAGCGAGAGAGTTGCTCTTGGGCTCATCTGTGCGTCGAGCAGCTATGAGGATTCTTTTGCACTCTCCAAACTTCCCGCACGATTAATAAAAGCTGAAAGAAATAAATTATTTTAACACATTGTCCATGGAAATGGCAAAATGAAGTTCACTTTGCTCACATTGTGCTTCATTGGATCCCCATGCACATTAAGTATACTGAGTCTGATAGCGCGACCTTGCTAGTTATGTTGTGTAAAAGTCATTTGACGAAGTATATAGTCCATCAAATTGCTTGACAAGAGTTATCTACCGGTTAAGTGTCTTTAGTACCTTCTTCTCCAATGTGTCAGCAAGGGCTGCCAGTTTCTTTTCCAACAGTAAGTTCTTAAAGTTGCTTTTTTGTTGGACTTCATGGATTGCTTTCACAAACTTGCCATATAACTCGTCACGTTCACTTTGAGTCTACATCATGAGCAAGAGAGAGAAAATCATACCACTGACTAAAAAACAGTGATGAGTGTAAAGATGGTGTCAGTGTCATGTGGTAATCAAATGTAATGTACTGTAAGACCACTAATTTTTGATGCTGGAATAAGTTATACAATGGTTTCATCTACAGACTCAAAGCCTCGAACAAATGAGATCAATGGATGCCCTCCCTCATCAATTACCTTTGTTACTCCCTTGGGGTTTTGAGCACAGGTTCTTTCATTGCCCTTACCCTTGACATGGCTAATAACCAAGCAACTGGCAACAATATGCAACCTCTCAATAAATATACTGAGCAATTCTGTGCTTCTTTGGCAAAAAAAAAAAAATAAGGAAAATAATTACCTTTATGGCTTTTGCTTCTTTGTGGAACCTTGTGATTCTATAAACCGATGGGTGCTCTTGGTGTAATTACTAAGTTAGCTAGATAAAGTGCATATACAGAATATCACTGTAGACACATACCTGGCTAAAGCGCTGTTGAAGAACTTCATGCTCCCAGTGCAGACTTCTGAGTTCTTCTTCCTGGACTTTGAGTCTTGCTTTGGCACTCTACAAAGTAACCATGACAAGTGGCCAGAGAACTCTAATGATTACCCAAGATACCACCTACACGTAACCTAGTATATCTTCTTTCCATCTAGTGGTTTGCAAGCAATCTGTTGATATCTTGATGCAAACCTCTTATCTCTAGCTGTCTCTTGTCTATAGCCATGAAGGCATGAGCAAGAAAGAAGGGGGGGGGGAGGGAAGGGGTGGAAGGAGGGGGGTGGAGGCAAACACTTTAGATGACCTAAATGTATTTCAAATTAGCTACCATGGATAGAGTTAGTTTTGACTTGGATGAACTGGTGCTTTAGAAACCACAAAGCAGGTGAATTTTGGTGAGTGACTGCATCATTACGAATACGTACACAAATTAGGCATAGAAGAGCAAGGAAAACCTTGCACCTCTGTGATCTGATCAAGAACAATTGAAGATTGTTTTTACATAAAACAAGTCACTCTCAGAGGTCTGTATACTTACAGCTAAAGATGCTTTGTCTTTCTCGTAGTTTGCCAACTAAAGAGAAAGAAAGGGAAAAAAACAATTCTCAGTTAAGTATCCCACCATTGATCCCTCTACAGACCCAACAGTTCTTTAAAGCACTTCACTGTTAAAGCATGTCATCTGAGCTTTGAGTTTAAACTGTAGTTCTTTTTGTACGCTGACCTGTTTTCTAAGTTCTTCCACTTCCTCTCTTGCTTTCTGTAATGGTTCTGTTAATCTCTTGTTCTCAGCCATGATTTCATTCATCTGTTTTTCCATTCTTTCCTCTTTCTTTTTCATCTCCTCTACTTGTTCCTGATTAAAATGAAACAAACATGATCTGTTTTTAGGGCATTTCTAGGAGAGAGGGCACTCATTAAGCATGGGGCAGCAGTGCTGTCATTAAGGGCCGTAACCCACAACACCTGTTACGGCCGAGTATGCTTGATTTTCATTTGATGCTATGGGTGAAATTGCCTGTTGTTGATAGAATTCAACCACAAAGTAACAAGTTTGCTGTGGGCATGGAGAACAAGGCTACTGGTGACTCAAAACTTAAAGACAGGCTGCACTCAGTGCTTTTTCAAATTAAAATCCAAGGGTGTAAAATCAAAGAGGAAGGAAGATGGCTCATGAACAGGTGATCTTAATGTATTCTAAAGGTTCTGTAATGGAAGAAAGAATGGGTAACCTTGGGTGATAGGCAGTGGTACAGGGAGCGCTAATTGGAATGGGTGCACTTTGACAAAACCACATTCAAAGGGTGATGCCTATTTACACCGGCAGTTACGCTAAAACAACAAGCAATACAAGAAATAAGACTAACAAGTTATTACCTTGAGAGAGTTAATGAGAGCCAGGTTGTTAAGTGTGATGTCATTGTAGTAATTCTTGATGTCACTGAATGCCTTCTCGTGATTCTTCATTAGGGTATTAATTTGGCCATTCTTACGCTAAAAAGAAAGAACATCCATCAGTAAAATAAAGGCTGCAACAGAAAAGATCACTGGGGAACCCACATTCAGTTCACTTAACTTTGCTGGAATTAATATTTAACCACACTGAAAGATTGTAATACAATATTGATGATTTGTTTCAAAATATGACTCACATTAAATATGTGTAACACTGAAAAAATATGGATGTAAAATACCTCTTCAATTTCATGTATTTCAGTTTTTCTTCTCAGCTCCAGTTCTTCTCTGAGTGCCTTCATTTTCTTATCATATTTGGACTCAATTTCTGTAAAAAAAGAAAATAGTAAACAAGAAATCCACAGTTATCAATCAAACCTGGGGTCAATGTTCAAACTAATTAATGCAAAGCAATTGCAATAATAATTATTTTTTGTGTCCATTTTCTCTATACATGTAAGTGACTAATGGTATCACTGACTGGAACGTTTTATCTCAGGAGACATGTGACACCACCTCACTAGGTTATTTTAAAGTGAACCTTAAGCTAGAACTGTGATTGGTTTTATTATTTTATATTTACGATGTTTTTATCATTGGATGTACATAACTTTTAGCTTTTAAACTTTTAACTTAACTGTTATTTTAACTTTCAATATTTATTTATACAGGGCCCCACTGAAGAGCACCTTATGGTGAATTGGGCTTCCTGTTTAAGTATTTTAATTGTTGTTATTATTATTATTTTTATTATTATTATTATTATTATTATTATTATTATGATTATGATTATCATTATCATTATCAGAATCATAACTAGCCTTCAAACCTAAACATCTCTCACAACTGAGAGAGGCATCTGAGATTTAGGCCAAAATTCTTGCAAATAACCACAACAACAACAAAAATTGTGTATATGTATATAGTATGCAGAGGTTTCATCACTGCAGCAGAAGGGCAGCTGGTTTGCACAGGTAGGCAAAACTTTTTGAACTGAAATTCTTTATAAGAAAAACTTTCCTCTAGATGGTCTAACCAGGTGACCAAAATCATCCTCACAACCGGCACGGCCCTTAATGAAACCCCCGGTATGTTACTGGTTAAATTAACTCAAAAATATTTATGTGCAGATTGGTTTGATTTTCATGTTGGTCTGGATATTTTTGTACTCTACACTCACCTTTAACTTGTCTTTCAAAGTCTTGTCTGAGTCTAGTCACATGCTCATCATGGCCCTATTGACGAAAAAATAATTAAGTTTAAGACCTGGCATTGACAACTGTTTAATACCAAGGCCAAATTGTATTTCAGTCAGACACACAAATGTATTTTATGAAATGTTACAGCAACTTTCTTCAATTATTCGTGATTGTCAATTAACTCACCTTCTTTAGATTCTTAACAACATCCTCATGAGAAAGTTCCTGTTCTTTGAGTTCCACCTGAAATCAAACCATTTAAATGTTATTAAAAATACCTTGTAAACTAGGAACTTGTAAAGAATTTATGCATCATAAACCAGCTACCCACAGAAAATCTTAGAACCACACAATGTCCATCACATTAAAAGAAACACTAGTGACAAACCTTGAGCGATCTCTTGTTCTTTCGCAGATCTTGTTCATTATTTTTGTGTTCATCTTGAGCAAGCTTCAAAGCTACAGCACCTTCGAAAACATACATGTATGGCGTCATACAGTGCTGAACAAACATGATGTGTATCAATGTCAGTATCCCTGCAGTGCAGTTCACACCACATGATTACATGTGTATGCTTTATTCATTATACAAGCTGTCATGTTCATGTATGTACTAACAATATCTTCAATCTTAGTCAGACATAACAGTTATGGCTATATCTACAGTATATCAAGCTAAATTATTCAGACTGTATAATGTTGTTGTCTGATCACTATGCTGCCTATGCTATGAATTCAGCTTAAGGGTTTTCAAGTCAGGTTGATAGACAAAATGCACCCCAGATCTACAAAGTGTAGTGTAATAAAGAGTGGCTTCAGCTTGAAAATGACGGTCAAAGATCTAATGTAACCAACGCATTGTTTCTTCTTGATCACTTACTTTCAGCCTTAAGCTCAGCAATGTTGTTCTGGTGTTCATATAACAAATGCTTCACTTTTTGCTTGTATACTTTGATTTCCACCTGATGCCTCTCCTCTGCCTCTTCCATTTCTCGGTCTTTGTTACGAAGCTCTGCTTTCTTTTCTTCATGCTGTCTTTTTGTGATTTCCCAAAAAGTGTTCACCTTATCTCGCTCAAGTTGGAAATAGTTCCGTTCTTCACGCTCTCTGTCTAATTCCTCTCGTAATCTTACAATGTGCTCCTCAAGTTGCTCTTTGCTCATTTCCTCTGTGCTGATTCCATCCACTATTGTAGGAGTCTTGGATTTAGCAGACTTCTTTTTGCCCTTCTTTTTTCCACTTTTCTTTTTTGGTGGCTAAAGCAGCACAACAAGAAATTATTACTTACTGTATTGAACAAGCATGCAGCATAATAAAAAAACAAAACAAACACGGCAATCACTTTACAAAGCTTGCTTGACATACAATGAACACCAGCAAAGATATAGACAGAGGACCGATTTCAGTCGAAAAGCATGATCAGTGAACACAGAGGAACCTACTGTACCCAATAGTCCAAAGATCTTTGAAAGGTAGAGAAAGAAAAATATGAACACATGCCAGTCTTCTGTGATTTAGTAAATAAAGGTTTTTCATTAGAACAGAAGATTATTTTCAAAACATCCCTGATGTTACAGCCATATAAACTTTATATGTGTAATTAGCTTGCATGTAAGCTTTTCTTTTATGTATGCCAGAGTTGCCAGTGTTATTCATAGAAATCTCTCACTGCCAAATGAATTCCCGTACGATCTAAATAAAGTTATACATAGGGAAACCGAAAGGACAGAGCTACGTGCCCCTATTATGGAGTTCTCTGTATTACAGAGGTAAAGATTAAGCTTATATAAATTCTGATCTGGTTTCTTCGAGTGAGGTGGAGAGGTTCGACTGTAATTCAGAAATATGGCAACTATTTCTACAATGTGTTCAATTATAGCAAGCCCATAGCATTTAGGATACAGAATAGCAAATAACTGCCACCTACCATACTGCCTGTTTCTTGATTTTAGCTACAAAACTGGTAGAATTTTCAGCAGTAAATCAACAGATCATGAAGGAAGATTGTGTTGCCTGGAAACGAATTCAACAACATCAAACTCCCGGATTTCAAAATGGTACTTACCGCTGGACCTGAAAACGTGGACGCGGTATTTGTCACGATCAATGTCACGATCTCTTTTCAATCAATGTTTGTAAAGTTAGGGTTCTGTCCTCGTGTACCGGTTCCCGAGAACCGATACAAAAGACCCAACAATATTCAACACACCAAAATTCGAACCACAAAACTGTTGATCTTCCTGAGATTTTACTTAAATGATGTATAAGAGCAGCTGAAAACTAATATTTATACAAATTTTCGCTCCGAATGGGTTCTTGGTTTTGTGATACACTACGCTTGAATTTCCAAGCTTTTGCGTGACGCGGCATTTACATGACGGCCTAGAAAGCTGTCATGATGGTTAAAAAGTGACTTATTTCGGGGAACTTGGCTATCTGAACAGTTCATGTCTTAGAAAAAGTATTATTTTAATGTTTTAGAGTTCCTCGAAAGAAATAACTTCACGGCAAAAAGAATAACCTCACGGCAAAAGTGAAAGACTCACGGCAAAAGAAATAACCTCACGGCAAAAAGAAATAACCTCACGGTAAAAGAAATAACTTCACGGCCAGAAGAATAACCTCACGGCAAAACAGAAAGACTCACGGCAAAGGAAATAACCCCACGGCAGCCTCACCGTGAGTCTCTTTGTCCTTTTTCTTTTTGTCGGGAGGTTTATCTATTTGCCGTTTACTTTTGTCGTGAAGTTATTTCTTTTGCCGCGAGGGTTTTCTTTTACTCGTTTCACCGTGAGGTTATTTCTTTTTGCCGTGAGGTTATTCTTTTCACCGTGAGGTGATTTCTTTTGCCGTGAGTCTTTTACTTTTGCCTTGAGGTTATTCTTTTTGCCGTGAAGTTATTTCTTTTGCCGTGAGGTTATTCTTTTTGACCAAACGGAAGTAAAGCGAATTTCTGCGAAATCACGCAGCGTAACAAAAAATGGGTTATGACTGAAACTATCAATTTGGTGGACACTTACAATACAAAATGGCGGCTTGACTACACAGCACGACACGGAGAAACGTCGCGAGTCTTTCTTAATTTGGCTCATTTTTGACCGCAATTTTAACCTCCAAACGGGTAAAAATTTCAGTTTCATTTAATTTTATGTTTTTTTCATGATCCGAGACGATCCGAGTCGATCCGAGTTGATCAAGATCGTATTTATAAATGGGACGATTATAACATCAGCTAGGCAAATAGAGACAATCTTGTAAGCATATATACACTTTAATTATATCATGGAGCGA